AAGTGATACGTTTTCTAGTCAGCATAATATTTCAGTTTGTTTTTCCAAAGATTTTTCATTTGATTTACACCTTCCCTCAGGTTACTTTTTGGTCGCCCTACAAAATACGCCTACGGCTATAATGACTTCTTCACTTGGACTTTTCAAAACATAAGGACAAATGAGAGTCAGTAGGTGTTAAATCTGGTGAATAGGGCGGGTTTTCGATCAATCCGGAATGTAAATGTGTGATGTTTGCCTAACAATTGCGCTTCTGTGAGCAGGTGCGTTGTCCAGGAGGAAGATTTTTTTTTGTAAACCTGATCTTGCTTCTTCGTCATAATAATATTCTGATGTTATAGTTCTATCGGTCTCCAGACAAGCTATCAGCAATATTCCTTTTGCACCCCTAAAAATGGATGCCATTGTCTTTTGAGAAGATTTTAACATTTTCGGGGCAGAGCCAACTGGTTTGACCCGGTCTGCGGTTTGTTGTTAGAATCCAGATTTCTTGGTCCTGTTCGGCCAATTTTTTATGTCTGGCCCTTTCATTATAGAGGAAAATGTTGGTTGAGTTTGTTTTATATTTAAGCTTTATAAAAATTTTCTTTGGCTATGAAACAAGGGCGGATCGACATCGACCAGCCGCCGCAGAAGCATCACTACCTGATATATTTACCACATCACTATAAATTTCGTCTCCGATCAATCCTACTTCATACAAGTATTTAACCAATAGCGGCAGCTGCTGTGAAATTAATTAATGGCTGAGAATTACTTGTTCTTCCACATAACCTCCTCATTCTGCACAAGGCCCTTATAAGACTAGACTCGATTACTGCTCACATGTTTGGGGTGCTGCTGCCCCGACTACATTATCTATGCTGGATGCTGTTTAAAGGAGAGTTGTACGCCGCTTGGATGATTTATCTCTAACGGACAGTCTCAAGACCCTTTTGTACCGACGGGTCGTAGGCGATCTAGCTCTCTTCTACGGCTATATCAATGGGCTTTGCTCCTCAGAGCTATCCTGTATGAGGCCGCACCCCGATGTGCCGGCTAGACAGACCAGCTCCTTTGTCCTGAGGATATCCAGATTGCGGAACAATCTATCTAATAAGGTTTTTAGTAATTCTACTAACCGTAGACAGTGCTAAAATCGGATTAACAAAGTTTATTTGAGCTCCTCATAGCAGTCGCGGTGCCCTACTATTTAGGCTTCTGACTACGCGACTGCTTCGGTATAAAAAGCACTTCAAGCCACTGTAATAAGCGAACTATTCTTCAGATCAGCTCAGTATCTAGTAGTTCAGGTCTTCTGTATGCGAGTCCAGAAACTTTTCAGTCACCTAGTATTTTACCTGTACTATAGGCCTGATCTCGGTGTATTCCAACGGCCATGTTTACACGTTGTTCCATGCCCGTGACGCCACTGAGACACGTTGTAAAGATAAAGCTGATTACACTTTTTTGTTGACATGTCACTGCACGGATTGTTTAAATTTCGTACGATGTGTAGTAGCCTGTCTTTATATTATATGCATATGCATTATACAACACCCATGAAGGTAGGCCATTCAATATATCAACGAGAAAATTAAGATTTTGAGGTAAATTGATGTCAAATTGGCAATTCGCCGGATACGTTATATCCCAAAATAAGTAGTCGCATATGTGTAGAATACAAAAAATTCACATGCTCATTCATATGATCTATTTTGAAACCTCATATACTTCGCGTCAAAAAAATATGAGCACCCAATCGCGGATTCTATTTACTTGTTGCTGCCCACTCAGTTACTTATAGCCCGCTGACCAATAGGGCCATGTCGTGTGCTTTTGTTTTGTTTTGACGGGGTAGAAATGGGATTTAACTAGGCTGTAGGATATAGGTCCTACGTTGCTTCCTTGCTCATATATGATACTATAATTTTTGTTTTTCATATAACTTCCGAAGGGTACTCTATGTAATTCAACAAAATTTTGCCAGCATGGTGTACAATTGGAACCTCATATGAAACAATTCACCCATTAAGAACGCCAGGCATGGACTAACCCAACATAATACTGCTAATTTTTCAACACTGTATATGATCTAATAATAATGTTTTTGAAAGCGTGTTTTTGAAAGTACGGTCTTGCTTTCGTACAATCTAACATACCGACTCCATCACTTTGAAAATATTGTAATACTGGCAGCAAATTCTTAATCAGCGACCCGAAATACATTACGATATTTTCAGATCATTCAGTTAAGTTGTTAGGGTTTGTGAGAGATACAAACATTGCAAATTTATTTGCACCGTAAAACCTTCACATATTTTCAAAACATCGATATATTGGAATATTGCTACGCTGTTATTTCCTGGATAGTAAATTTGAAATTCAAAAATATTTTCCTGGTGTCTAGAATCCTCGGCATGCGATCTTGGCAAAGGTATAGATGCGACCGATAGCAGCAGCAATATGTCAATACTCTTATAAATTATATTATTAGAACCAGGCGCACGAACTGCGGTTAAAATGATTTAGATGTACTATGTGACAGTCGATAAATAATAGTCATAATTATAGTTGTCACTGCTTTATTGAAAATAGGAAAGTTGCCATCTGTCTCGCATATCTGCCAAATGACACTGGATTTTCTGAGATTTATTTCTGCTACGAAATTGATTTTAGCCACAAATGCTGGAGTTTGAAACAACGTTGCATACGGTTAGTTATGGTCACAGAGACTGGAAGAAAACATGCCCTAATCAGTCTGATACTACCTCTTTTCGTGCGCGTTAAATCCGATCCACAGCTCTGCGAATTACTCCACTTTACATGCAGGCATTTAGGCATTAACGGGGGAAAGAAGCTTTGATATCTGTTATTAGCTGAAATGTATTTTTTGTCAGCTAACCCCCCCCCCCACTCTTTACAAGACTTAGATGATTTATTAAGATAAGAGAGTCGTTACTCGTCTTCTACCATCTATAGATTACTAGGTTAATAACAGAATTCGATACAAGTTAATGAAAAGGAAGACCTTAACTCGACATAAGGTACTTCCCATAGGTAATAGGGAAGTTAAGGAAGCTTAAGTGCATATACATAAATTAAGTTATTTCCTAAATCGTAGAAATGGCTCATCTTAAATCAACAAATACATTGTGTAGGTATATTTTTCCACTGTAATGGGCATGTTAAAATGTGAATTTACGGTATTGACTATTAACACCCTAGTAGACAGTCTTAGCAGCATAAACGCAGTGTTTATAACGTCAGTATCTGATACACAGTGAGGGATGGTAACCGTAAAGGCTTTCGAGAGGTGAGAGAAATTATCTAGTACATATCTTTTAGTTTTCCCCCAAGAACATTCATTAGTTTCTGATAGAAATAAAAAATTGATCGCGGTCCATCTATTCTTCAGGTTCTTACTTCCCACGCCAGTTGACAAGTATTGTGACAATTTTTCTGATCTGTACTTTGCAAAAGGGCCTCCGTGGTGGCCGTAATGTCAGTAAAAGGTAATTTCAACATATGTGGCTTCATTTGGGCAGAAAATTATAAAGTTCTTTCAACATGAAAACCACAATATAGGCTTTTGACGTTACATTAACCATGTCACTGATTTTTGCCGGTCTGTCTGTCGGTCTGTCTGTCCGCTCGTTCTTAAAAAATACTACTTGGATGGAATGTACACACTAGGCTACGTCTGTGCCAAGGACGAAAAATCTTTGTAGTTTCTGAAAATCGGTCCAGTGGCGGCGGAGCTATGAGCAAAAATGAAAACAGTATGAAATCGCTCAAATTTGTTTTCTGATATTTGAGAGATTCCAGTTCATTTTTGTGAATTTTTCTGAAGATTCATAATTTTAATAAAAGAACCTACTCTTTTAAAAGCTGATGATAGTTTACGTTGGAAGTCAACAGTCTTGTCGCGATTTTTTGCTTATACGTGTAGAATAAAGTTAACTAGACAACAGCAACAAAATGTACTAACTTAAATCGAAATAGTAGTTCTCATTTCAGGTGGAATGTTTAACTTTTATGTTCCATAATTGCAGACATAACCGCAAATGAAAAAATGTTTTATCAGTTTAGTTATTAGCATTAAATATTTTTATATTTTCATAACAAAATCTTTACTTTGACATAAAATTTTTGATTGACGTACGTTAAATAAACTATAAAAATCTCATCGCAAAAAATGTTAAACAAATCGGATGCTTTAAAGAGGATTCTGAACATACTTTCGGGCCACAAAACAGCACAAAATTATGTGGGAAAGAATTAGGAATAGTGATTTGACGCGTGGTATACCTACAAAAAATACGGAGGGCGTGTGGATGGACGGAAGAAGTATTAGCAAATCCAGGGAAAAAATAGTAGAAATAGTTCATAGTTGGAAGATCTATAGTTTCAAAGTTCATTAAAATCTTGTAATGACCCAAAGTTTCGAGTGGTACCCATTTGATTTTCTTAAACAAGAACGAGTCACCTTTGACAGAGATATTGAAAGCTAAGCGAAAACGTAATATTTACGAATCCCACAGTGGTCATATGACATACCAAACAAACTAGCAGTTGTACTTTTGTTTCATTCAGGGTTTTATTACACCCATTTTAATAAAAAGGCAAAAGAAGGTAGAGTACATTGCGCACCCAATGTTGGTCGTAATAGTTCGTCCAAGGTAGCAACCCCTATATTATTAAAGTAAATAAATATAACTATTTCTGAATAGTAGGCGTATACAATGGAATACCAAGCGGGTAGAAAACGTCTTTGTCTCTGCCCTGTTGATTGACGATTTCGTCATTATAGCAAATAGGGAATATCGAGGTCAGCCAAACAAAACTTAGCCAATGGTCACGTCAAGTGGTGTTGCTCACCGATGAACTACCCAACCCTTGGACAACTGAAGAATCATAGGCTACAGCTACACTGACTTCATGTGTATAGTGGATAATAAGCACTCAATGTTCATGTGCTGAGGGTTGTGATCAGCATAGTAGTTCAGGGTAGTACTCACCAGGTGGTGTGCGCGCTGGCGGCAGCCGCTACAGCGGCGAGATTGAGCAGCAGAAAGAGGCGGGTGGCGTTGGAGGCGGCAGAGGTAGCGATGATTCGGCGGTGGCGGTGGCGGCGTGGAACAAGAAGAGGCACCGTGAACGCGGCGTGCATCACACTGTCGCGGAATCAACGCGGCGGCCAACGTCGACGGCCATGAGGTAGCCGTGACGTGAAGTTGCGGCTTGCAGCTCGCGCGCCAACGCCACCGACGAGGCAGACACCGAGACCGCCACCGAGAGGGGGTGGGGGCGAAAGATACGCGAATAATTCAAAGTATTATAAATGCAATAATAATTTGACTCGTACTTGATATACCACGTTTTCAGCGTTAGAGCACGGTACTCAATGTATCCCCGGCTCTCCCCTTGAATCTCTCTAACCACTTGATATAATCTAAATTCAATTCAATTTATTTTCCACAGACAGACATCTCTGTATAGGAATTTCTCAGTGCAATAAATCCTAAGACTAAAAAATGAAGGTGATTAATAACGTTTCTTGAAAACACTACAAAAACTCTGAAAGAGTATAACACAGTTCTCCAACAGATAACTTTTTAGTCCCTAAATAATTTCTTACTGGTGTTTAATATAATCCGGTATACGATTGAACATTTTTGGCTACATTACAGTGGGCGAAGTTGCAGTTGTATAATGTCTGGCAAATGGAATTAGCTATGATTTTTTTGTCTTGTATTTACATCGTGTATAGTACCTACTAATGTAAGTCTGGTTGTATAGCTAAAAACGTATACACATAACTCTCAAATATATAGGCACGTACGAGGTGAAACTTTAAAACTTTTAAAGATTTTTAAACATGACACAGTGTTAAGGATACCAGCAATACTTCCAACAATATTTTTCTGTGCAATGGAAACATGCAGAACATATGTAGAGCCATAAGCAAATTCCATAACGGAGTCGATATTCGAACTAGGCGTAATGAACTGAGATTGAGGTACATTTAATACTGTACGTAGATTTCTAAACATGAAAATAAGCGAATTTAATTTGGTTGGTAACTTTTCACGTTGAACTTAATAACACGATAACGTCTCTTCAACGTGAAGAACCAACAATCTAAACTGAATTGCACTCGTTCGTTTGAAATGTTGTGCTGTCAACCGTGATTTGTATATGACCAATATAATTTTGAATGTTATGGAATCGTAGATATTTTGTTTTCTCTGCATTTGTGTAAAGGTCTAAATCATACAAATAAGATACTGCATGATGTACGATAGTATTACAACGTTGAGACAAATTATTATGTTCTAATTCGCTTATAGTTAATGATATCTCATCAGCATACACTCCTATGGACTTAGTTTATTAATGTAAACAAAGCAGATCTCTTCGGTGTATCCAAAATTGTCGTTATCTATTGTTGACGCATCATAGGCATAAGTGTCGGTAACAGATACTACATTTTATCATGTTGATATACAGTCTGCAAAATTCAAAAAATTGCTGCTTTTTAACCTGCCAAGTAAGAAAAAAAATTTTCTGATGTCAAGATTCTGGGAGTTGTAGGGTAGCGGTAAGCTTTCGTTCGCCCAATCACAGACGGTAACCATGCTAGATTACTAGTTGTTCACTGGCGAGCAGACCGTATCTACTATATCACCAGAATTGGTGGCATACAGCGGCCACAGTCGTGACCCGGCTGACAATGCGAACTGAGAGACAGTTCCAACATAAACTTACTGTTTTCACTGTCGCAGGTGGTCAATTCTGCAACAGATAGTACTTTGTGCTGACTTATTTCGGTAGACCTTATACTTTGAATGTAGGATAGTTTCTCGCCCTTCGTCGGTTGTCCTACCGACACCAAGCCTGGACCATGCTGAAGAGTCACCAAACAACAGTTATATTACTAGTTGATTGATTGACGAGTAGGTCGTATCTACTATAACACCAACATTGGCGGCATCTAGCGGTCACAGTCATGACCCGGCTGAGAAGGCGGACTGGGTTACAGTTCACTCTCGCAGTGGTCGCTTATGTGCCATTTAGTTTCGATACACATAGTACGTAACAAATTCAATATACTTGAACGATACTCAGTTTCCATGCCAAACATTCAAAAACGTCAGAAATAATGGAGATTATCTATTAGTCTTACAGCTGTGATGCTGCTTAAGTTTTATATGATCAGTTTTTTATCATATCTGTATTCGTTTATTAAACGAAATAATATGGAAAAACTTCAATAAGACAAAGACTTCGGTGTCTTTCACTGAGACTCTGTCAGTTTTTCAAACCTTTCCACAAAAATTGTTTAAGGTTGAAATGGAGTAAAATAATAACCACCTCTGATAGAGACAAAGCTGTGGGGAATGTCAAACCGATGTTTCCCTGGTACAAGGAACTGAGATCTTCGACTTCTTTAGTCATTCACGTAGTGTTAAAAATCGAAGATCGGAATCAAGACTATATATCCTTATACAACTACTGACTAGAATCTCCTGTTTAGCAAAGGTCATCTAAAAGGTTAGAAGTTAAAGGATATTTCGAAAAAAAAAACAATCACACTAGGTAAATCATTAAGAACCGTGGGACCTTAGCTCTTGAGTCACAGGGTCAGTTTGTAAGTCTGTCAGGTCTGGTAACCCAGAAACCAGACAACTTTAAGGGAAAAGGGAAGGAAAGGAGAGAAGGTAGAACGAGAGCAAAGGGGAAGAAGAGAATCTTTCAGGATAGGCAGCGATTAGGCATTGTTAAAATCACTTCACAGATTTTGATATGGTCTAAAAATATTCGATTTTTTTCTAAAGATTTTGTGAAAGTGCTCCAATTTTGGCTGTTCTAAGTTCACGAATTAATTTTGATTACAGTACGAGCCGCGGCCTTTTGTGCTTGCGAACTTACTCGACTGTGTAGTCCACTGACATACGCAACACAGGGTTGCTGTGCGATTCCGCTAGGCTATAGCGCCGCTGCGCCGGTTGCTTAATGTAGTCCTTTAGGTAAGGGACATCGAGGTCTCTGTGTAGAGTTTCGTTAGAGACATACCATGGGGCATCAGCAATATTGCGCAACGTCCTGCTTTTGCAGAACCTGCAGATTTCGCATGTGTGTTTTAGAAATAAAACACCAAGCCGCACATGCGTTAAGTCATTGCTGGTCTTTTGACCACCTTATAGAGTCGAATCTTGTTAATCAAACTTAATTTTGAACGTTTACATAATAATGGGTAAAGCAGTCGAAACGTAATTTGGAATTAAGTTTTTGCTTCTATATGGTTCCGCCAAGTCATCCCTTTGTACAGAATGACACCGAGATACTTAGCGGAGGATTCCCATGGTATACGAAGTCCATTCATTGAAACTTCAGACGGAACGCCGCGACGTCTTTTTGTACAGTAGATTGCCTGCGTTTTCGAATGTTTAATTTTAATTAGCCACCGATCCGTCCAATCTAATACTTCCTCCACCGCACTTTGCAGCCTGTTACAAATCGATATTTGTCAATATTTCTTACAAAATATCCTCTTAACGCCTTTCCTAAGCTAGTAGAAAAGACTACAGTGCATAAGCACATGCCTCGTTGAAGAAATGCTCAGAAACAGATCCATCTCCAGTAATAATTGTTGTTTGTTACTTTTGAGTACAACAGGCCATTTAAGCATTAAGTGTACCCATTACACGCTCAAACAAGTACTTGCGAAAAACGTTCATTCAACAGAACATCTAACAAAGCAAGCTCAATCTGTGAATTAGGTAAAGCGCCTATTTTCGGCAATTCTGCATACTTAAAAGAGTTGTCGGTAAACAATGTTTATTTGCGCATCGATAAACTTTCGAGATTCTTGTAAAAGCTCCTTAAGTTGGCATTTAAGATAAACACATCAGAAATGGTAGCAAGTCAGGGGTGGTGCCATAGAGCTTCTTAAGGGACAAAATGTAGGATACTGTAAAACCTAGAGAGTTAAAATCGAGAAGATCGATTAACCCAAATGTAGGCTTGATGGTAGGACGTGATCTTAAAATGATACCGTATCAGCGCTCTATGGAGAGAGATTGGAGACCAGGTCACCGAAGACTTTTTAAGGCTCAGAAGTACTTTTTTCCACATAACCTCCTCACTCTGTTTAGGTCGCAGATGAAACCGAGCATGGAGGTACTGCTCACATGTTTGGGGTGCTGCCGCCCCGACTACATTATACATGCTCGACACTGCCTTGAGAAGGGTTGTCCGACTGATCGACCTACCTGAGGAAACGTTGCCTAGTTCTAGTAACCTTAGGCAGTTCAAAAATCTGATTAACAAAGTTTCTTAAAACTTCAAACTCTTCATAGCGGCCGCTGTGTCCTAGTATTCAGGCTTCTGCCTATGCGGCTGGTTCGGTGTAAGAAACAAAAGTAAACACACTTCACATAAATTAAACGCTGAATAATGAATAATCCTCCATACGACGTAAGATGCTGAACTGACTGTAATTAGATCGCTGTCAGAGATAACTGGATTTCGTATTGAGGGAAGCTGCTTTCGAGAGAGATCCAATGTGAAATTCGCCCAACATAATGCTAAAAAGAGCAAAAGTCAAGAAGAAATTGGCGAATACATCCTTATAACTGGTTGAGTATGAGTGAAGGAAGATAACAGTGAACAGTGCAAGACCAAATTGGAAATTTGACAATTATCTAGGCATTTGTTTTAGCTACTTGATATATTGATGAGCAATATTCGACTACCTACTTTTGTTCATGCACATTACTCATTAATCCGAAATGTGAGGAACATTCCTGAAGCCAAAGGCGCCACCCTGTAAGATACAACAGAGGAGCTCATTGAAAGAAATCCAAAGGAAAGACTGTTGGTCTTCTGTTGGTTTTAAGAATATAGTTCACTTTTTCCATAAGGACATTAAAACCAAGTCGGACCTCGTAAGGCACTGGGAGGTCGGATAGGTCGACCCTGCTTAGCTCACGCAACGCTATCATTTGTTTATTAAAGCTTATGTTCGACACAAGTTATATAGTTCCTAGTTGACACCCGCTTGATAACTTTGCGCCCTAGAGTATTAAAATCTTAAAGGTAAGTGTACTAGGAAATCTGTGTGAAACATGCCCAACATGTGCCTAGAGTTCCGGGTTCAGAAACCGATGAATGATGCCAACATCCCTTACATCTTCTTACCCATAACGTTTCACCCCTCAAAATATGTTTA